GACGTTAAGCTTTCCACTAGCACATTGAACAGATTTATGGCATTTACCTCTTTCAGAAATGGTGAAGGAGCATTTAAGGTAAACGGTAACTTCAAAGTAAAAGCTGAAGTGAATTCAGCTTTAAAACATCTTATCTTGAATTAGTGTTCTCCGACTGTTCACAGATCGTTTGCGGCTTCTCTGACTCTTCTAAAGGAAATATTAAGTACCTGAAAAGGCCTCAAAGTTCTAATGACAACAAGCAGTAAAGTAGTAGAAACAGAAATAATAAAAAAAAAACCTATCAGTAGCTGGCCTCAGAGTCTGTGGTTTAAAGTGCGGTGGGAGTGGAAATTTGACTCTTCTCTGTGACAGCAGATCAATGCAGCCTGGAGCAGAGATAGAAATGAATTGATTGTCACCAATAAAACTCCAATTAAACAAAAAAACAAGCCTGGAAGAGAGCTCCGAGACAAGCAGCTCTCATCTTCTCATCAGTCCTCGTGGGGGGAAGAGGGAGTGGGAGGGGGAGAGGTAGGAGGGGGAGTCGGATGTGTGCTGGGGAGCTGGCGAGCGAGGTCCATTTCCTCTGAACACTCTCGCTATCAAGGAGGTGTGGAAGTTATGGATGAATGTGAGAGTGAGCGAACCGCCGACGGAAGATCAGATACTCGATAGACAGAGAGAGTGTGAGAGAAAGGGAGAGCAGAGACAGAGGTGCCGCCATTGATCCAAAGTATCCTTAATGATGAAAAGAGATCTTAATTGTGGTGGCATGTGATAGATCAGGTTTCAGCTGTCAACTCTCGAGTTCATCTGACCTTCTCTTATTTAATAAGTTCATGTGAAGCCCTTCAACCACGCAGTCTCTAAACCACTCTCTATCTGCCAGTATGTGTGTCTCGTCTTCTTTTTCTGTCACTTAGGGTCTTTCGCTCTCTGAGCTACACCCATAATCTCCTCATTGAACAATCCCTACATTTTATTCTTGCATGTACTTCCAGGTAGGTTATAGGCCTCCCACATAAGCAGTAACTACAGATGCTTTTTGCTCATATGAATCTCCAAATGAAGTTAAAGATGATCAATGTTCCCCATTCCTTGAAAATGTACAAGATCTCCTTACTCTCTCCTCTCCTCATATCACTTCTTCACTAATAACATTTTCTTCGCTATCTCCCTCTATCTCCCAAGCTCTGTAATCTGATTGTTCTTTCTATGATTGTGCTGTTATTGAGTTGCCTGTATCATACATATGTATGTAAGTCCAGCACAATACTTATTCCATCTTCTGCTACGATTTCCCCTCAAACAGGAATGTCATTCCTAAATAGAGAAAACACTAATGCCATGTTGAAACGAATAAAGCTTCACTATGTGTGGAACTATGCAGACTAGGAGCCCCAAATAGCAACAAGAGGGAACCCATAGCACCAAGTAAAGGTCAAGTTTCTTTCTGACTTTTACTTTTAAGTTATTTCTAGTGTGCTGAACGGGTTAAAAGTTACACATTCTGGAAATGATTTAGTTTTGTTAAAGGAGCTGTTTTCCATTGCTTCATACTGAATTTGATAGTAGAGAGTGGGAAGGTAAAGCCTTGGTGTTCTTTTGGGGAGCATGACAGGTTACATCTATGTTTCCCATAAAGTTCAGCATTAAGCTGTAATTATTAGCCATGCTAGCACTATGGGCTTCATGGGATGGCAACGTCAGTTGGGTCCCCCACTTTGGTCCAGACTGAAATATCTCAACAAACATTTGATGGGTTATTATAAAATTTGGTACGGACATTCTTGGTGCTTAGAGGAAGAATACCAATTACTTTCATGATTCCCTTACGTTTCTAGCGCCACCACATGGTTCACTTTTGTGGCTTTGAATGAAATGTTGCGATGGCGCCACCATGATTTTTTTATATTAAGCCATCCCCAACTTCTTATTTATCCACTACTTTGATTCATGAAAGAAAATAACTAAGCACTATTTATTGCTAATTAGCAAATGTTTACAATTGCTAGATATCAGCATGTTAACGTTGTCATTGTGAGCATGCTCTGCCTAAGTACAGCCTCACAGAGGTGCTAATTTAAATTACCTAATTAGGGGCAAAATATTCATCATTTATATCTTGCTTTTGGTTTATCCTGCTGTAATTTCAAAATGTACTTAACCATAGATAGACAGTTTAGATAGTATGGCAATTTTTTTCCCATTATTCATTATGCTTGCATGCTTACATTAAAAAGTTTTAATCTGATTCCTATACAAGCCTCTATATCTAAAAGTGCTAACCCTCAAATTACATATAGCCTCTCTGTAAATTATGTTTTTATGCGAATGATACAGAACTTTGTAATTACTTTGATACTTTACGTTCTTTAATTTAATAAAAAGATCATTGTCAAACATGGACGGATGTCTGATTATGAACCCCTACAGTAGATTAGAAGACTATTAAATATAAGCATAAAATGGACGAAATATATATGTAATATAGCAGAGGGTTAAATACAGCAAAGGTGATTTACCTGCTAATCAAAACTTTCATTGAATTATAGTACATTAAAGTTAAAAATGTGCTTTGGGTGACACCATCCACTAAGGCATGTAATGTGTATTACTGTTATTACCTATCTTATGATTGTGTTAGTGACAACATTTTATTTACTCTAGGTGTGTTCCTTTTAATTGTAAGGCTCTCTAGTTGGGTCACGTAGTGTGAAAATATGATGTGTCTACTGTGTGTTTGTGTGTGCGTGCACCTGTGTGTACTTAGCTTCATCACCCCAGTTATACCCCTCTGGCTATAACTCTGGAAGTTTCTTCTCACTCATTGTAACCTAACTGAAAAGAGGCCGAGGACAAAGAAAAGCATGGAGCTTTATTTTTCAAGCTGTCTATCTTTCACTGGTTGCAGCAGCCTGATATGACCTTATAGCAAACATCTACTGTTCTGCAAAAGTCTATAGCTTATGGATTTCATGTCAAGAGAAAATATCTGATATTTCTTCTAACAAATCATCACCCTTTAAATGGATTTACTGTCGAGCACAAAAAAATCCTATTTATGCTAATAGTAAGTCCATCTATTTATTGGTTTCTATTGGCATTTTATTACTTTCGTGCCACAGACGAAGAAACCCCCTCTCCATACGCATCTTTTTCCACTCAATCGATGCATGTTAAAGTTGCTGACTGTGTACAGTTGCTTTTTCCCCATCAGAAAGACTCACACGGACCTCAGACCCCATCATAAAATCATTTCTGAGCTTCATACAGTTGACCCTGAAGGTTAGGTTGAGGCTCATAGTGTGATGTTGCCGCTGAAGATGGTTAAGGATTATGATGATGGTGCTAGTTCGAGCTCTGTGCCATCAGCAAGAGAAATGATTAGGACTGCACCAGCAGAGTGTTAGCCTGACAGATGGCAACACATGGAGTTAGCTGACAGCACTGCTGACAGCGCATTCACAGGAAGTCCCCATCTTGCATGCACTGTACACACTGTTTGTTGCTGTCCGTATTCTGATGTTTTTCTGCCATCAAGTGTAGCTTATTCTTACCCATCAATGCCAAACTCTCATCACCAATTCACCAACTTAAAATTGCAAGACGGCTGCGCAGGCCTCCTGTCATGGCACCAAAGGGAGTCAGGGTCTGTAAAAAATCTTCAGTGGGTCATTATGCCAGTCTCTGGTCATTTATCACACCTTTCTTTTTTTGGTAATTCATTCCTCCAGTGGTCAATACATTTTCAGTTATTTTCCCCTCAATCAATCTACTTAGAAATCAGCTCTCCAGGTATGTTAATGAATGGCCAACAGACATAGATACATTAATTGAATGACTGAATACATTAGGAGCTGTATTGAGTGCTGCACTGTTGCCTCTACGAATAGCAATATGGAGGTATTATTAGGTTCAGTGATTGATGAAATATGAGGAGAGCTTTAGTACAAACCTGTCAGTTCCACTGCTCTCAGTAGGAATGAAGGGACACAGAAACTGTCCTCCCCTGTCTTCCATGGGTAGACACAAAGATCTGATCATGCACTTGTAAATGGTGTTTTCATTTATTTTATATGTTTGTTTATTCACTAGGAAAACCATTTTAAATTCCATCCAAATACATCCCCGGGGGAAGCACATGTAACGTCTCCGAGTAGTTGTAATACTTCTCACTGTCAGTACATGACAGCTTCAAGCTTGAAGTTTGCATGTGTATGAATGTGTCTGTGTGCTTTGGTACGTGTTTTAAAGTGGGGGAGTACATATATGCATAAGCATGGGAGCATGGCAGTGATGTGATTGATGAGACATGAAAGAGAGCAGAGGAAGATTTCCAGTCAATCAGCCCTGTGAATAACCACCTAGGCTATGGATTAAAGGCAAAGAGCTGTCTGAACTAACAAAGGCTCACATCCATTACCTTACATGCAGAGTTGTTTTTCTCTCTGGAGCAACACTGACAACAAAATTAAAGTGGGTTAACAAAAATAGATGGTTTTGTTTTCTGGAATTTAAGAGATGAAACAAAGCAGCATCTAACAATTTGTATGCTCGTGGAAATAGAAATCATGGGAGGTAAAAAGATCTCTGCAGAGAATGACCCATACAAGATTTAACATTATGATAATGTGTGTAAAAGGAAATGGGACAGAATGGATTTTGTATATTAGGCTGTGTCTGTACTGTTGTAAGATTGGACTGGGTAATCTAGCCTCTCTAATTTCTTCAGCCTGGCTTAGAGGCAAAGCGGCCTACTGAGAGTCGTGTATTCTGGCTTTGAGTCAGCAACAGAAAGGAGACTTGTAATACATCTACTGTATGGTGCCCATTGTTCTATGTTAAGAGCCCAGGATCAACTTGCAGAACCCTTTAACTGCTCCATGGAGGCTGCACTGTGGCTGATACCGGGCAGACATTGAAATGAAATGTCTCCTGGAGAATATGTCAAAATTAAAATTAATTAGTCTTTGACACGTTGCTTCCTTCTTCTTTCTGTCTGTTTTTTTCTCCAGGTCCAAGGGTTGGAGAAGCAAGTGGAGTTTTCAGACCTGGGCCCGGTGATGAAGACTCTTCCATATGGCACAGTAGGAGGAACGACAGGAGGAGTGGTTAAGTCTCCCTACCAAACGCGCATCTTCTCCACTTCCATCGACCAGACACCGATGAAATCCAAGCCACCCACCTACAGTTTCTTTAACCCACACGACTCGACCCGGAACCAGTCCCTGCTCCCGGACCAGACAGGCTACCGCTCTAAGCGCAAGCCCTCACTAAAGACAGCCATGAAGACCAAGAAGATCTTTGGATGGGGAGACTTCTACTTCAACGTCAAGACCATGAAGTTCAGCTTGTTGGTGACAGGGAAAATTGTGGACCACGTCAACGGGACGTTCACTGTTTTCTTCCGCCACAACTCGTCAAGCCTGGGGAACGTGTCGGTCAGTATTGTACCACCAAATAAAGTGGTGGAGTTTGAGGTGCTTCAGCCGCAGCAGCTGCACCCCCACACCCAGCAAGATGTCCAAATCCAGGAGACCCACCAGTCCACCATCGACCCCAAAGAGACAAAGACCTTTAACTGTCGGGTGGAGTATGAGAAAACCAACAAATCCAAGAAGCCCAAACCCTGCCTGTACGATCCAGCTCAGACCTGCTTCACAGAGCACACCCAGTCCCACGCTGCTTGGCTCTGTGCCAAACCCTTCAAGGTGATCTGCATCTTCATCTCTTTCTTTAGTATCGATTACAAGCTGGTTCAAAAAGTGTGTCCGGACTACAACTTCCAAAGTGAGCATCCTTACTTTGGATAAGTGAGTGAGACTGAACTAAAAAGAGAACAAGAGACAATGTTAATGACAACGACAATAATGATAATGATGATGATGGATATGATAGTCATATTGATTACTATGAAGAAGCAGGGGACAGTTTTTGCCTCTAAACTGCTGTGAATTGTGGATTTAAATAAAGTATAATCAGAGGTATGGATGATTAGGATATGGATGACTTCTCTGACTTATTTTCCAACTTTGTATTTGCTAACTTCTGTTTTTATTTGATTTTTTTTCTGTAAATAATGTACTCAACCTCAGCACACTTACTGTTTTTAGATATTTGTTTCTCAGTGTTATTACTTTTTTGCATTTAGAGAATTTGGTTGAAAACAGTATTATGCCCCCCAAGTACAATGGGAGCCTCTGAGGTGGCTGTGCTGTGCCATCTCTGAATGGCAGACGTAATGTTATGGTAGACTGACTGTTAATCATCCTCTCAGCTCTACGTTTCAATCCCTGGATATAAGAGAGTTATATGTATGAGAAATGCTATGCTGGATATGCATACAATATACTGTATGAAAAAGCACATTAAAATCTCTTAAACTGTCTGTCTTTTACTGCGTGAATGTTTTTGTTCAGAGCTAGAAGCACAATTGCAGGGCACAATATTCATGCTATCTAACTCAGCAAAGACACTATAATGAACTAAGTTACATTTCACTCTGATTGGGAATTCATGCCCAAGCTTTCTGTGAAGATATGTAATTTTAATTTTCTAAAATATATTGAAGGAACGTTGGTTATGGATTCAATTATAACATGAAAACCAACCGTGATACATTCTTAAGATGATGATAATGTTTGACTCCTTTTGAGGGAGTTGGTATGTACAGTAATAGAATCCAAGGGAGGTATCGGATATAATTTAGCCTGATACTCAAAAGAAAAATAACAATTGTATTGGAGATAATGTGACTGACAGATTTCTGTTTGTTTGATCATGCAAGCAAAGTAAGTATTGCACATCTGAGCAAACATTTTTCAGTTGCACCTAAACCTCCAGGTGGCTTCCTCGGATTTTATTGACTGCTATTACTGGTGAAATACTGTTATAATCTCAGCTAGCTAATAATATTTACTTTTTCATTGCTTTCTTTATGCTAAAAATATGAGCTTACGGAAAAAATAAAGCAAGATAACGTCACTATTGCTTAAAAAATATGCATCTAGATTGGAGATCAACTCGCCAACCTCTTCCTTGATTAAATTAAACAAACACCTTCCGACTATCTCAGACTGTCTCTCTTTTTCTTTTTCTCTCTCAGAGGCTCTTTGCTCTCCACACGTTTTGATCTGATGATAATGGGTGCTCAGAATTTCATTAGAAACAACACAGTCGATGCTAATTGAATCTTCATCTTCACTCTGGCTCGATACCCTATTATGCTCTTGATCAATTACATTGAGATGAAGGTCCAGGGAGGTCCATGTATCTTACACAAGTTGCTGTGGACAGTTGGGACACAGAGATTGATGTAGTCACAGCGACCCAGATTTTCTGGAGTTTCCCCTCTTTGTTACATATATTCTTTACATTGGCTTGGTGAAGAATCACCAGACTAGTTGCTGTGGACGGATCATTGTATGTACTCCTTTGTGTGTTACCTTACATGTGTTTGCATGTTTTTATTTATGTGTTTGTCCAGGTATGCTTCCCAGAATATCAATAAAAACATCAACAAACTATGAAATAAAGTACACAATAGAAAGAGGATGTATAAAGTTTCACTTGAGATATTGGGATATGGTAAGAATCTGTGGAATATACTAACCTAGACAGTGGAGTGTAACGAGAGCAGCACTTTGGAGATACAAGTGAAAAAAATGAACATCAGATTTCAGGTACCTCAGAAGAATGTACAATATTCTTCTACAAACCCTGACATGTAAAGATTTACACTCTATTGGGCATCTTTCTGAAGGACATTGACAGCACTCAATAGGTGACACATTCATTAATATAGTGATACATGTAAAACATTTTGATATTAATTTCTATTATGGGAAAATGTCTTATCGCTGTGCAACACCATTTAGAAATAAAATATTACAATCTGGAAATAATCTGTTGACAAAGGTTTTCATGCTTGCCCAAAATTTTCTTTAATTCATCCATCCAGAAAATGTGGGGAAAAGAGAGGGATGGGGAACAACAGCTAGACTGGGAGATTGTAGTTCATGATCAGCACCATAACCCTGTGGCCACACATTATTTCTATTGTGGGGCAAGAGGATCATCAGACAGACAGATACTGACAAGCAAAGTCACGCTCATATTTATTGAACTCGACCTGTCTTGCTTTATGATGTTCAGGGAGGCAAACAGCATCAGTGGAAAACAGAGAAAGCAAACAGGAAGAACTTGAGATTCAAGCTGTGAACGTTCTTGCTGTGCAGCTGAAGTGCCTAAATCAGTTAAAATTGACAAATATAACCTCCCTCCTCCAGATTTACCTCCTCGGGGCAATTGGAGAGCAGTTGTATATGTCCGAGAACAATTTATGCCATCTAGCCTAAATCTAAACATACTGTATATCACCCATGACAAACAATTGCTTGTATTGCGAGCAAGACAAAGGGTTGCTGCATGAAATAATAATAAGTTTAGAGGTGTTGTCTTCATTCATAACTTGCACATGGGAATAACTACAGTACACTACATTTTCAAAATGTAAAGAGGTGTTTAAGATATTTATTATAGCATAATAATAATAATAATAATAATAATAATAATTACAATAATAATAATAAATATATATATAATAATATAATAATTATAATGTATCAATGAAAGCTGCTTTCAGTCACTGTAGTCTGTAATCGGTTCTGTCACCATGTGAACATGAAACTGGAACGAGTTCATACACAAGTTAAATAAGTAATTGACACGCTGCTCGCTTGCCTACAATTCCCATCAACCCTTGCGGCAGGATAAACGTAACAAGCCTTTGCTAACAACTTCAAGCAGTCCTTTCGGAGCCTGTCAGCGGTGTGTCGCCTGGCTGTGCTGCTTCTTCCTCTGGCCTGACAACTGGAAACATGCTGTCCTTTGCTCTGAGACAACTCACACGGGTATGTGTGTCGTAAAATACTGTTTTTTGTGTGTCACTGTTTCGTTGCTGGTGTATTTGAGTTGGAATAGTGAGCTGGTGTCTCTGTACTGGTTGAACTGGTAGCTAGCCTGACGCTAGTGTGGTTATAACGTGGTGGGGGGGTTTAAATCGCCCGACCTCCGCTGAAGCAAGGTGTGCACTTGGCAGCAAAATGGGAGAATATTTCCAGCAGTTAAGCGCCGGCTGTCTTTTCTGTCCTGTTAGCGTTGCACTTTTGCAGTGTTGTTAGTGAGCTAGCCGTCAATGCGTGTCACAAAGGTGCAGCTGTGTCCACGTAATGATGCAACAGCGCCTGCTCAGTTTCATCATGTGGGAACAACACGGAGAATCATGTGTCTGCATATCAGGAGCAATAACTGTTTGACCACATCTCTTACATTATTTAGTTAGGGTGATTTTATGTAATGGCGCTGCTGCACTTTGAAAAAAACCAAACTTATTTAGTCAGTTATCGTCATTATCGGTGCACACACTGTTTGAAGTTAAAGGGGGGGTTTGTCTGTGAACTGTTAGCTGCTGATAATACAGGAGGATGGTACAGACAACGATATATTAACCAGAAATGAGGGGTCCTGCCCCCAATCACGTTCAAAGTGCAAAATGAGACTGAAGGAGCACCAAGCAAATATTAACCTATACGAGAGATGATAATGAGATAATTATGTAACAGATAAGGCTTTATTTTTAGTCAAACTTGGGAAAGCAATACTCATTGTTTCAGCAGTGTCAGCAGGTTCTTCATTGTTAAAATATTTATTACTCTGGGGTAGCTATAAGGATAACGTGAGGTTAATTTCCTGATATAGAGATTATCCTAATATATGGTGAATGTAAGCTCAAAGGTCAGTTACCAGTTTATTATGTACACTTAGATAAAACTCTTAATATTTAGTTATTTAATAGAAGTGGGATGGGCTAAATACTTGAAACACCTTTCAGTATAACACAATACAATTCAATAGTGCCACAAGCTGCAGCCCAAATGACTAAATAAAGTTGAATCAACAACCTTCAAGTATTTGTTGCAGGGTTGTTGTTTTAGACTATAATAGTTTTATAGTTAATAGATTGAGTGTTAATCCTAATATTTAGTCCACTGTGTTTACATATTGGTATGCAGGAGAAAAAAGATACCACAAACACATATACTATATTCATTATATTTATAATTAAGATCAATGCTACAGTGGTAATTCGCGCGAAGGTTAAACAAATAACATGCTTCCACAGTAAGGGGAATGTACACGTGAATGCTATTATTCCAAGTGTGACGAATCACTTGTTAAAAGCAAACTTCTCCCTCTGTTAGTGGAGAAATAACACTTTCGCAGCCTCTGCCTTTGAGTACCACCACCATGGTGGTTCTGGATGGGAAAAATAGAGTTGGTCCTATGGCTCTCATTTTGTCTTCTTTTCTGCCCGTTAAACATGCTTATAGTTAAGTGAAATTGGACGTGTTTCTTTTTTGAGAATTGTACCACGCTGTTAGATTCGGATGAGGAGACACTGGAGCGTGACAGGGTGTTGTGATGCGAAATCATTTGCCTTTTGAGGCACTTATTATGCCTTCCTGTCGTCTATGATTGAACCTTGAATTCCAACTTCGTGATGGGGGGAGTGCGGGGGGGGCCTGATTGAGAGCTAATTTTGAACTTTATGAAGTGACCCATTTCGGAGGTGGTTTGAATTTCATGTAGTTTTTTAGAAACGGGCTATGCAAAGTTTGTGCCGAAACCTCATGGCATGTATTCAGACCTAGTTTTATAAATCACTGTCAGTATGTTTGAAGGTTCTTATTAAACTGACCGACTCACATGCTTGCATGCTTTTCCTATTGGTGCTTATTGGTTAAGTGTGCATCTTCATTGAATTTCTAAAAGGGCTCACGAGACTTCTTGGTTAAGGCATGCGATGTCCTCACAGGAACTGTGTGTGTCCGTGTGTGTAAGAGAGAGGGGAAGATTTCCGTCCTTGCTGTTGACCCACATTTGAGGATTGGTATAAAAATGGTTAATGATGAGGGGAAACTGAACCTTTGTGACTTGGGTCTTATAACAGTATGTTGCCGTGGATATTAATAACTGTGGGAAACAGATTGCTTTGGTCATTATGGGGGTGTTTGCTCTTAAATAGGCCAGTTGCTGCAGGTAAAGGATCCCAAAGTCTCCAGTTAAGTCAGTTTGAGAATTAAGAATAATCTTTAATCCAATTATTAAAAACCTTTTTTGTCCCGGTGCAAGAGTTCAAAAAAAGCAAGCAGCTGTCACTTCTAACTACCTTATATTTTCTTTCAATAATTAGTGCATTTCTTTAACAGTTTTTAATCTAATTTTCTTTATTTTTAGCCTGCAATTTATGAGAAAATAACCTTAGTTGTAGTGCATATGATGTTTGAATTGCATGGCATTTTATTGGTCCTGTTCAATTTGAATCTTTGAATTCAATATGTGAATAATATCACATCTCACCAAACAAAGACCTGATGTGTTCAACTTTAATGTATAATTATAATAAAAAAGCACCCAGACAATCCCAACTGGGAACCTTTTTTTTTTTAAAGAATCTTTGAAAATGACACACATTTAAATGATGTGAAGTGTGAAGATTTTACTTTTGTCAGTTCAGGCTCTGCTCTGTGAAATTAGAAAAAAGGAATGAGCTAAGATTCAGTTCAGCAGCGTGAGAACATTGGAAAACGTGCTGGGTGCTGCTATTTACACGGACTGCTGCATCCCTGTACATCCATCAGAAAAGTTTTTTTAAACCACTGGTGGTTATAAGTACTGCCAGCCAGAGGTCGTATGGAGAACTGAAATCTAGCTCAAATATCTTTTAGGGCTTGCTGTCCTGAATACATTGTTAAGTTGCCAGTAACGAATGCGTCCTTTCATTTTCAGTGTAAACATGCAGAAAAAGTCATGATTGAAAGATAAAAAAGTAAGAATAGTGATGTAACCAGGAAAGTGACATCAATTTACACTAAAAGAAGGACATATTAATCTTATTTATCTTATTTTATTTGAGTTATCTTACTAATTATTAATGTTGGACAAAATGTTTGTATGGTTTTAAATGCTCACTCAGAGACAATTTAACTACAATGTATATTTGGTTATGTAGTATTCACATTTCTAACAAAATGTAAATTAAAACTTAATACTAGATACTTTATACTTACTATACTTTTCTGTGCTGCGTACTGAAAGATTTGTTGTGTTACAAGGCTTTGTTTCTTGTTGGTGAGAAGACCTGCTGCCCTTTGGAGTTTGGTGCATAACTCCTACTCAACATGCTTTTTGTTTTTTGAAGTTCTGAGGAAAATCTTTGCAGCAATCACATTTTTCTCGACAGAGGTTGACTCGGTTGGAAAAGAAGCAAACGCATTTTTGTTTTCATCTTTGCGTTGCATCAACCAACTGAGTGGTATTGGTGCGTTCAATATAAGCCCTAATATGTTTTTTTTAACCTACTTTTCAAGTTAGCTCAAAAATAGTTTTGGGTGTCACCCTGAACACAGTCTGACTTCATCACCTCCCACACCGGAATCACTAAAACTCCAATGTAATGCTTTTATACACACCGTTTTCTGACATAGATTAACATAACACTGTCCCAGCCGAGGTTTTCTTTAGTTTTTTTTATTCAGTTTTATTTATTTACCAGGAGCAGAACCTAAACACATTCTTACAGCCGTTTCATATATATTATTTGTATATATTTTTTCTTCAACCTTGATGAAGCTGGCTGGTACTGACTTCAAAATGTAAAGTGTTTCTTGCGTCAAGGAAAGACTTGACACACATCCGACATTTATTTGAGCCTTTTTGCTTTTGCTTGTTTACATCTTTATAAACAAAAAACTAAACAAAAGTCCTCTGCATCCAAATTGAACGTATGCATGAGTGTGGAGCACTTAAAAAGGTAACTGCCTTTAACATATTATATTAATTTAAAGGAAATACCATACACATGCTGCATGATGCATATGATGCATCATATGTGAGGATCTGCTGCTTTTCCCTGTTTATTTCACTGTAAATTGAATATTTCAAAACGTAGAGCTATGGGAAATTATACCAGGCAATTTCACTTCTGATTAACTGAGAAAATGATTGGCAAATTAAATAATAATAATGAAATAATCAGGATTTGCAGCCCTAATTTAGTCAAGTTCTCTACACCTACCAGACAGTCCTTTCTAGTTTCTTTATATTTATTGTGAATAATAAACGGACAAACTGATTTTCCCATTCTCCCAAATGTAGCCCTATTAAAATAATACTTTTAGCTGTATTTAGTTGGCTTCAACCCAGTTCAGTAGTTCTATTTTTGGACAAACAGTGCACTTGACAGAGACACTGAGAGAGTTGTGGGCAAAGATGCAAGAAAGGCCATGAGCCCAGCTTGACTCTGTGTCAACGTTAGAGTCAACAGCATGCATCTTGACTCCCCGAGGCACCAGGAAGCCCAGCATAGAGCCTTTTTCACCATCATCATCTTCACCACAAGAAGTTTTGTGGAAAGATTTCAGCGTAACTGTATCGTTCCAGTGCCTACACCTCCTGAAGATTGGCTTTGTCGCCGGCATCGCTTAAGTCTCAGATTGTCACCCTGACAACCCTTTGACCCGAATAGAGTGGAGTCGCCGTGGACTCTGCCTACCTCCCTTCACGCCTCTTCACCCCATCCAGATTTCTCAGTCTAGTGTTATCCAGACTGAATCACAGGGCAATTTGTAACGGACAGCCCTGTTATTAGTCAGTGACGGGGAAAGAGGCAACTGCGTGTCAGACTGACGGATGCAGCTGCCCTGTTGACACTTCTCTTCTCTCTAACCTTACATATCTTTTCATTTTATTTTTTTTTTCTTCACTGTTTCTCCTCTCTTGTCCCTTCTGTTTTTCTTCTTACCGGGCTGATTGTTGTTTGGTAGAGACACTGATGGACAGCAGTCATCTGTAAAATTGACTCGCCTCAGGAAGTGCTTCAGGAAACGGGCAGAAATAATACAGAACTTGGATTAATGAAATGATTTTCTTTCTTCCCTTTTTCTTCTTCTCTGCCATTGGTCTCTGGGCACAGATGTTTGACAGGAAAGGTAAACTGTCAACAATTACCTCATCATTGTCAAGCAGATGCCGCACATCTGTGACTCTGCCGTTATTCCGTGCTCGGCGGCCAGGTTGATGTGGCCTATCCCGCCTCTTTTCTCACAGCGGAGTTTTCATCAAGTTCACCTTCAAGCGACAGCGTCATCTGTCGCCTAAAAATAGTCCCACTGTGACATATTTGGTGCTTGTATCTTGGCTCTCACTTTTCTTGGATCAGCTTATCTTGTGTTTATTAATTAATCTCCCGTAATGATCAGGGCTGGCAAATGAGGCGGGGAAGTGGAGAGAGGCAGACCACAAGGACTGACCTGTGTATTGTTTGTTTAAGCCCAGTGGAAGCTGTGTTAGTGATATCCGTGACAAGACAAACTAATAAAAACGCCACATGAGTGTTACTTCTTAGCAGCGCATGGTGACATGACGGGGACGGGGCGAGGGTAGGAAAAGGGAAGCAGGAATGGAAGCGGAGGCGTGGAGGAGGAGGGAACGGTACCCTTGTCTGTTTTGCAGTTGTCAGTAGCGCTATAACCATGGCAGCGTTGGCTTGTGGTGGGTTTTTCTGCCACCGCTTTCCCCGGCCTTGGTGTGTCCCAGCAGAGACGCAGACAGCGAAGGACAGTTCCCGTCAAGATTTAATGACCCGTGTGATTTCTCTGCGAGAAACGCGTCCTCAGAGGCAGGCCGACCTGTCTCCCCAGGCCCTCATCTCTTCCAGAACCCGGAGGGGGGGCCCCTCTCCCCTTTTCCACCATCACCACTGCCACCGGTGACAGAAGGCCAGAGTAGAGACTGTTCGAAATCGGCCATTAATGTGCCAGACGCCTCCCCTGGTGTGTCCCCTCTGCCACCCCAGGGAGCAGATGAAGAGGCGGAGTAGAGAGGATGGGCCGAACAGCGATGGCGTAGATAAGCTATCTGCACGCTGTTCCTAAGGATAAAACATTCTTATTAACTGTTTTTTAAGGATTGTTGCATTTTATTTAACAAAATGTTAAGTGTTGTTGTCTTAAAACGTGTTAAAAACTACAGAGTTGGTTTCTCTGCTAGATTTACAGTGCAATAAAGTCAGTACAAAAGATTAAGTGCCCAAACTTTTTTTTTTTTACACCGCATGGAATAAGCATAAATTGCTTCTTTTTTTTTTTCATATGGGTGTCCTCAACCAGTCCTGAACATTGTGTTAATTGCTTTTTAATGGCGCTATTAAAGGGAGGTTGTCCCTCACACCCCAGCACACCTGTACAGATGATAACTATAGGTTGGCAGTGGTGGGATTGATCTCAACACAGAGTCATCATCATATTGTTGATTAAATGACGGAAGAGAGCCAATTTGTTCTGAGCGCAATCAACCTGTCATGGATTTTTTGTTTTTGTTCTTCCACACAGTGCTCTCCTTGTTGATTGGGGTTTATAGAGAGAACTTGAGCACTGAAGTGTGCACATACAACTTCAATACATAACAATTGTTTAGTGCATACAAAGGTTTTATATTATCTATATATAGGATCTACTCTGCGAAATACTAATTCAGAACTTAAGTGTTAAAATAGTCACAGGAGTGCATAAGAACAGTGTTTAACTTGGGGAGGAGAAAGTGAAAATTGTATGGACTCTGCATGCTCACATGATCAGACATTGCAGCAACAGCAGCAGGAGAGCTCGCCAGCCCCAGTCCAGATTAGATAAGCGGGAAGTGCTGAATCTGTTCTCTTCATGCCTCCTTCGGTACACTGAGGCTGTAAAAGTCAGTCCCTCAGTTTGCAGAAGTGCTGATAGAGGCATAATTGAACAACCATGCTGATTATTGATATCATGCAAATGCCATTTTCTAATTATACTTGGCTACATATTAAAGTGTATGAGGAAGAAAGGAGGGGACTTGGAATATCTCCTTATTTATATAAGACACATTTCAGTATTACCTCAGATATGTAAAGTCAAATAATGTTCTGTGTAACAACTCTGACAGCTTATGGCAGCCCTCACGAGACCTGTTTTAGTGCAACGACCCAGTGTTAGAAAATGTTCATGATAACTGTTATATCTATAAAACTACCATACTCTCAATGTCCTTTCTCTATATTCCCCCTCTGTCATCATATCCCCAAACCCTGCAACTTCTCTTCTGCCTGCAGCCACTGTGCCATCGAGCCCCACTTCGTCTCAGCGTGCGTGGCCAGCAGTCCCACGCCGCCACCCGCACAGTGGATGAAGATCGTCCATGGACGGGCCAGGAAAGCCTGGCTCAGGATGACCCCGAGATGTGGAATCTGCTGCAAAAGGAGAAGGACAGGCAGAGTCGTGGCTTGGAGCTCATTGCATCTGAGGTAAAACATCTTTCACAGACACTGTATGAATGATGTTTTATTATATAATGTGTCTTTGACAGATTGAGTTTGTTTACAGTGGCGAGAGATGAAAAGAATGAGCTGCCTAGGACATGACATAAAAAGTTTTCAACCCTGATTATAAACCCACGTAGGTAGGATGCCAGGATATATTTGTGTGCAGCTTAGTGGATGTATAAATGAACTGGCTTCCTCAAAACAGTTTACAGTTTACAGTGGATGGTTATAAATTATAACCAAGCTGATATGTCCGGGCACATAATACATTTTCTTGAACCTCTTGATTGGTCGGTTAAGGACATAATTTGGCCAAAATACTGGCATGAATTTGACATGCTTGCGGATTTGTGTTGCAAAGTAAAATATTTACTCAATGCCTGTAAGAGCTGGCAGCACCTCCCCTGTATGTTGGCAGCGCAGGTAGCTGAGAATGCCTCATCACCTCTGATTAATGTTATGGCAAAATGGATGAATGAATAGACTTGCTAGCCTCACGGAAATCTATTCTGGTTCTATCTTTTTCCGTATGACTGCTGGCAACATTGACAGAAAAGCTCGTTCAGTTGTTCATTAGGGCTCATACTGTAGTATGCACTGTACAGCACAAGTATAACGAAGTATGTGGGCATTTAAAATTCTGCATTGCTGCAAATATAAATTCATTTTTTCGCTCGTATTTATTCCTAAATCGTCTTGCTGTTGTACATTTTAATATTTTATAGCAGTAAATTTGCTGGTTTTTAATGTTTTCAGTGGACTGCTATAGGGCAATAACACAGTGACCTTCTGGATCAAACACACAAATGATGGAGACGAATATCATGAACTCTAACAAGTGTTGTATTTTTAAAAAAGAACAAATTCATATCAAGTCATTCAAACTTGGTGTCTGTGAAAGTGAAAACATTCCCAGGATACAGTAGTTTCTGTAAGCAAGAATAATTCAGTTGTTACACAAACATTTGGGTATCTCTCCTTCTGTTTTCATTCTAAGGCTGGGCGGTGTGAAATAGAAAACTTTACTATTCGAAAGAGCAGACAGGGTTTTATCTTGTATTGTTCTTTCTCTCTCCTCCTGTTTTCTTCTTCACCACAGTAGTTGTTCAGTGGAGTATAGCGGCCCCCCTCTCTACACAAAGCCTGACCGCTCTAGTGTGAGATAAAGCTGATATCTTCATCCTGCCTCCTCCCCACCTCACTCTGCAAGGCACATCACAGTACAGCTCAGGGAGGCATTCCTTGAATGAATAGACATACATTTTTCCACACGTGTCCACACACACACACACACACACTTACACACACTTAAAGATGCTGAGAAGCAAATGCATTTCCTTTTTTTTTTAATATATGCACAGTTGTCGGCATGACAGACGGACGCAGCAGAAAGCTGTTACTGGAGCTGTTATCTCCCTTGATCTCCTCTTGGCTTCTAGGTGAAGCATTAGCATAACCACACACACACACACACACACACACACACACAGACACACAGTACAGTCTAGTCTCCATTTTCTTTTCTCGTGTGTGTGTGTGTGTGTGTGTGTGTGTGTGTCTCCAGAAGGAGTATCCATAGTCAGTTACACAGTCAGGGTCGCAAACATTTGGAAAGTATGTATAGGTAGTCAAGCAAAGTTTATTTCTATAATTGAGTGTTTCAGTGGGCTTTATAAGGCCTCAAACAAATAGCAGCCAGTCCCAATTTGCATCTATTAATGATCTAATATGTTTGTTTTCTAATATTTCAATGTATTTTTTTCCTTATACAGCTGTCAAAAGTAGGATTACTTCAAGAATTGATAAAGCAACTTAATTATATATAACTCTGTATTTATATGTCTTTTTCTTTTATGCTTTATGATTTAATCCTTAAAATGTTTGAAAACAGTCACAGATACTTTGAGACACTGACCTCTACAACTTGCTTGTTTTTCTGTCCTAAAGTCTAAAAGCCAAAGACATTAGTGTTTACCATTGCATAAGACACATAGACATTTGAAATGTTGGGAATTTTTGCTTTAAAAAAACTGACAAAATAGTTTTATTAAAGTATAAATCAAAATGTTATCAGCTTGATGGATTAATTAACTAATTGTTGCAGCTCTAGTAGAAATACAAAAAAAATGTCAGTAGCCAGACTATAATTAGTAATTAATGTAGTAAATCCTATATAAAATGTGTGAATGAGCCCATTATGGATATTTTATATTACACAGAAATATTTAACATATGTTTTTCATCTTCTAACACACATAATTATACCCCATTTGCAGCAAACTATGCTCACTAAAATTTGATTTTCTTAGAAAATGCCTTGCAAAATGATTTTAAAAAAAGGCCACACCAATGTATCTCAGTATGGGCAGAAAAGTTTATTACATTATCTTGTATCCTCCAGCACCGTGGCGATAAGCATTATGAAGTGCAGAGTGTTAGTCTATGGAAGTCCAGAGGTTCAATACTGTAATGATTGTCTTTAGCCGGAGGGGGGGGGATTTCTCACTATCGCTTAACAGACTTTAATTTGTGGTCCTTGTCCTTTCTGTCCACTCGTGCCATTGATCTGTGTGTGTGTGTCTGTGTGTGTGCATGGGGGGTTGCGCACCAGAAAAGGTGTTTTTCCTTTGTTGTTTTAGTTCCCTCTCCTCGTGTGTGCTGAGGTTTAGGCCGAATGTGTGTGTGTGTTGTTACTACAGAATTTCTGCAGTCGAGCAGCTCTGGAAGCTCTGGGTTCCTGTCTGAACAACAAATACTCTGAAGGCTACCCAGGGAGAAGGTGAGTGTGTTTTTTCAGTCACATCCAGCTTATTAACACTGTTGATATTCGCTGCTTTAGGATATTTGTACTTGATTTATACTGTGTTCTCTAGCTTGCCCTATAATAGTACACGCCAGCCACACAGCAAATAATCCACAGCCTCTGCCTTGCCAAAGGAGACTCCTGAGGGGATACATTGGAAGAATTTAGTGTCCAGACTGATAGTTGCATGTTTTCTATTTTCAGTTTTCCTATTTTCTGTTATTTCCCTCAGATAATTCATTTATCAGCACCAAACAGAGAGCTGACATGTTTTGAAATGTTTCTCATTTGATGCCTTTGATTCCTGGAATACAAGTCTACCATAAATCTCCCTCCCACTGAATATGTTTTTAATTTAGATTTTTTTTTTCCTCCCCACATCCTACTCATCTGCTGTTTTACACTTTAATGTAATGAAACAGATGATCTCATTGAATGAGTGGTTTGTACAGTAACCATCTGTTGCTCCTTCATCTTTAATTCCACTGAAAAGGTTTATTGAGCATTGCCACTTGAGATGTCCCAGATCTGCTGTGGTAGTTTCGGGTTAACATTGATTGCTAGAATACTTAAAGCAACTATAACCAATACATTTGCCATGTATTAAATGACAATGGGAAAAGGGTCGGTTGTAGTGATGAACCTACAGAGGATTATTATATATACAGCTATTGTTTAGCTCTCCAGCTGTTAACGTTACTGTTTCGTCCCACTCTGACTGCTTGTATCACAGCAGTTAGCTGTTTCCAGCAAAAAAGTTCTGAAAACCCTGTTCAGCACCGAATGGCATATAGTCAAAGTTAGCAACTACCTGGTGAACATAGTGAAGCGTTTAGCAGCTAAAGAGACAAAATATTCCCACAGGAGTTGGAATAGACCAAAAACCGAGCTAATAGAGAGTGGATATTTGACTTATATTCGCTAGGTGGCAGGACTCCAAATGAATGATAATGTTGCTCCGCAACTGATGGATGTGTAGTTTGCCAGATCACTTTAAAAGTTGAAAGCTTAATCCAGAAAGTTATTTGCAGGAGTGATGTATCTGTTACTCAATGGCCTAAGGATGTCTTTTCTCCAACCCGCCCTCAGATACTATGGTGGAGCAGAAGTGGTCGACCAAATTGAGCTGCTGTGTCAGAAACGAGCCCTGGAGGCCTTTGACCTGGACCCAGCTCTGTGGGGTGTCAACGTCCAGCCATACTCCGGCTCCCCCGCCAACTTTGCTGTCTACACCGCTGTACTGAACCCCCATGACCGCATCATGGGCCTGGACCTACCCGACGGAGGACAGTCAGTAGTCATTGCCACTTTTTATTAATTCTTAATGTCCACCCTGTCACTTTCTCTTACCCTCACACTTTTCTAAGCTGTCCCAGCTTCTTTGTTGGTCAGCATTAGTGTGTCATTTGCAGGACATGAATCAATAAGCACTTTTCTTTTCCTGCACATTTTACACTAAAAAATGTTTTTTCTGTCATCAATAAAGTTGTTTTTAAGGTAATGTAACTGAGTGTTTGTGAGTGCCTGCTTTTCCATCTGTCTACATGATCCTGTTTGTCTCCGCAGTCTGACCCATGGCTACATGTCTGATGTGAAGAGGATCTCAGCGACCTCAATCTATTTTGAGTCTATGCCTTACAAGCTAAATGTAAGTAGAGACCCATACTACTGATATCAACTAACAAGTTGTGGACTGTCTTTAACAGTGATAAACCCTCTGCTTTTTTGGTAATGGTTAGCAAAATTATCAGCAGCAAAATCCATGAAAATGGGACAACAGAGATAAAAATGTGTTTATGGTGTTGAAAAAGCTGTTAGGCAGATGCAGGTTAAATAATACATATATAATAATGTATATTATATATGCATTATATATAGTACTATTGGTCATCCTTGCTACTTTGTCAGTTGTTGGTTGAAGTAAGAAAACTCTCTGGTGTTTATAGACAAACCACACTAAGACTTTGTGTGACTATCCAAAGGGGAAAAGTCAGCCTCAGGTACCAAATGTGAAGACTTGGAGTAACAACGTTGATCTGTTTTGTTTAACTAGTTCTGTTGGAGTCACTGACTAAAATAACAAGACAAAGGGAATAGAAATTACAAATCATTTAACACAAATATCTAAATTTAAATGTAGTAGAAAGGCTGTGATCCTTTTTTAGGAAGTCCTACTTACTTTTGGGCCCCCGCAGGGACGACAGAAGGCATTGTGGGTGGGGATTCAGTGTCTAACTCAAGAAACATCAGCCCAGCAGACGCTTGCCGGCAGGTGCTCGGTGACAGGGGGGCTTAAATGCAGATTTTTTGGTTGATGTATGGCCTGTTCACTCACAATGCAACTATAAAGTCCTATTACTTTAATATAACATTTTTTTTTGAGTTGGCATGTAGATATGACCAGTGCATTATATTATAGCATATATAGTATTTTATTCTTGCGGTCATAGTTGTATAGTAGTGGTTGTATCAGCTGATGGATGGCCACGAGAGTCTGCATGTCCAGACCTGCTGATGTATGGGCAGGCAGGACCCCTCTGCGAGAGAGATAATGGGAAATCGACAGGCAGGCCAGCACCACTGGCTCTGTCTTCACAATGAGCAGCTTGATGGAGTGAGGGGGCATCCATAGATGTGCTCTGGAGATGGGAGATTATCAGGTTGTCTAAATAAAGCTCTCCCTCCTCCTATTCTCTCTTCTTTTTCTTGTCTGTGTCTACTTTATTCTCCATCCTTCCTGTCTCTGGCTGTGTTTTCTGCTCCATCCTGCTTTCCTTCTCTCACCTGTATTTACTCTCTTCGCTGATGCTTGGAGGAGCAGTAGAGGGGTTAAACCTGGAGAGACACACTGGTCATCATTTGACTGGCCCCGTCTGACTCCATTTCATGCTACTCTGAAGTACAACGCCTGAACAATGCATTGTCTAACATATTTCTCAAATTGCTTATCTCAGTGAATAGAGCAGGAAAAGTCTCCAAACCAACCTCTGATCTGTTCAGCCTCATCACACCAGTTATGTAGATCCCTGAAAGGTTGAATTAGGATAAGTAGGAGTGCATTACCGCAATCTTCTTCCTTGATATGATAGGTTGAAATGTCTCCCTTAGATGAATTCCTTCCCCTTTTTAGGTAGCCAAAGTACTTCAAATGCAGCTGCATCAAATGATCTTCAAATGGGAAAAAAATCTCTCTTCCGTGTTGATATGTTTGCTTTTGATCCTCAAAATATCTAACAACTTTTCTTTATCCTCTCATGTTCCTTTTTCCCCCTCTGACCCTTACTCTCCCTCTAATATCTTCATATTCATCCTTCACTTATTTTCTACCTCTCTCCCTCTTTTTTCTTTCCTCAATCTGTCTCCCTCTCCGTCTCTCTGCAGACTGCAACAGGACTTATAGACTACGACCAGATGGAGATGACGGCCAAGCTGTTCCGGCCCAAGCTTATCATCGCTGGCACCAGCGCCTATGCCCGCCTCATTGACTATGCCCGCATCAAGAAGGTGCACATGAGAACTCTCTCTGTATTCAAAACTCACCCAGCTTTCACCCCATCTTTCTCTGTTTGTGTGTTTCACTCTTTCTGTCCCGCTACCTGTTTTTTTTCCACTTCTCATCCTGCATTAGGAAGGTCAGACCCAGCAATGCCCTCTTATTTAAAACTCAGTCAGCCTTTTCCACTGAACTGTCACACACACCTGCTTCCCTTACTGATAGGTCAGACCTAGCCGGGATCACATCCAACCATATCTTCACTAATTTCTGTCCCACTGCAGAGATTAAATACTGAGCAGACACACACAGTGTCAGCATTTTCAAACACAAACCAAATTTCTAGGGTCTTTCACACTTTCACTCAACAACACAGAGGCTTTTTTTCCTCTCTTGCCTACTCATCCGAACTGTACGTGGATACTTGCACTGACTCACACGTACACAGCAGCAACTTTTAACTGCACACTTCACTGCTCTCTTTGACAGTGCACAAGAGGCCCCTTTATCTGTTTTGTTATACCCACCCGCTGATTCACTTCATTCACTCCATGACTGCTTCCCTTTGTTGCAGAGCTCCACTTTAGCTAGTACCATCAGATGGAGTGTCCCACCATTACAGAGCTGTGTTTTTATTAAGCACCATAACTACTTTGCCACTAGGACTGAAGTGGGGCCATATTTTCCCCCTGGCATGTCTCTGTTGAACTGTTTACTGTCTGGGCCAGGCTCCTCTCCAGATTTTCAGTTTTGTGTTACAGTGTAGATTGGATTTTGCTTGTTTTTTTATTTTTTATTTTTAAATCTAAAATTTGTTTCACTATCGGCATTCATCAGCTACCGCACATCACCCTCTTGTGTTCTTTACCCCCTCCAGTAACCCTGCCATCTATCCTGCCTTTTAATCTAATAAACATGTGCTGATCCAGTTTAGATACGAGAGGAAGGGAGATTGTCATGATAATGCATATTAATTGGAGCACTAAAAAGATTGCTTACTGCTCTGATCATTCGCCAGCAAGTCATTTGCATGTTAGCGAGCTATTTATTTTTTGTGCCTTTTTCAATAAATGTTGGCAAGAGACGGTGAGGATTTATTGAATTACACTGCAATATCATGGGCCTCTGAAGACTGCAAACAGTGTAATAACACCAGCTCCGATTTGAAATATCTGCCCTCTAAGATAGGTGTTGCTAACAGATGTAGAGTTGGTCATCAAATTTTAACTGTGAGGGGAAAAATGTAAATGTCTTAGCACCGAGAGATTGTATCTCACATTTTTTATCTCACATTTCAACATATACACAGCACAGTTGGGTCACGGACGACACAGATTAAGGCAAGTTTAAGCATGTAGTCCAGTTTAAAAGTAACTATGATATATTCTTAAAACACAGTATATTAGGAATATATTATGCAAATACAGTTCATACATATTTGGACAGAAAAGGTTTTCTTGGCCAAATACTGAAATGTTCTTGGCTAGCTAAGTCAATCACCTGACTTCACTCTGATGTTGTTTTACTTTCTTAAGATCAGACTGAAGGCAGGCACCCTCCCTGAAACAAGCAAGAAGGAAGACAGGCTGTTACTGACTGCAGTGGTTTTGTAACCAAACATTAAAAAAGACTTTAAATTAAGCACCGAGCAGTCAGCACATCAACCTCATATTCGCTGTTTCATTTTAAATCCAATCTTCTGGAGCCAGCCTAACAAAAAAAATGCGTTCCTGCCCCAAGATTTGAGTGACTGCACTTAAGTTCACAGGCATCAAACAGTAATGTAATTTGAGTCTATCGAAAAATTGAAAAAATAAATAAATCCTGTTATGTATAATTTTGAATCCTAAATTTGTGTTTTAATTTTGTACCCTCTTTCCCCCCGCTTTTTACCCTCAGCTGTGTACCGACATCAAGGCCTACTTGTTAGCTGACATGGCCCATATCAGTGGCTTGGTGGCAGGCAAAGCCGTCCCCTCTCCCTTTGAATATGCTGACCTGGTCAGCTCCACCACACACAAATCCCTCAGAGGAGCCAGGTAAGAACAAGGGAAATCTCATTCCTGCTCTGGAGCTGGCTAAGTGGCTCAGTGGCAGTTAATTATTGTTTTTCTCTGCCACATACCTTTTTAAAGCATCATGGGAATGGGAGTTATTTTTTATTAATAGCAGGTATAGTATTTTGTGATGTTGTGTGTTCCTTCCTAACTAGACAGCTGTTGAGCCACAGGTGGGGGACAAATCAAATTACCAAAGATGAAACCTTGTTTAGTTTTAGAGAAAAATAAATAAAATGGTAAAAATGCTTTGTCACTCAATCGCTCTGTTCTGTCCAGGGCTGGCCTCATCTTCTACCGTAAGGGTGTTCGCTCAGTGGACAAGAAGGGGAAAGAGATCATGTACGACCTTGAGGACAAGGTCAACTTCTCTGTCTTCCCCTCCCTGCAGGGCGGACCTCATAACCATGCCATTGCTGGTGTGGCTGTGGCACTCAAACAGGTCAGCACAACTCACAAACTTCAATGAAGTGACTTTATTTGTATTGATGTAACGCTTTATTACCCTGTTCTGCTATTTCCTAATAAGTAGTTGTTAACTGGTGAATCCAATTTTACAGTGAAACCAAATCTTACCGCTGAGATGCTTTGGTGCAACTTGACTCAGGAACCTGCCTACGCTGCTGTGGGCATCTGCTCCTCTTTCTGAAGTGTGAACGGTCTGGAGCTTAACGCTGTGCTAGACAGCTACTGAAATGTAATCTGTTAAAGACAATGGAAAGACAGCATCTCTGACTAGCAGCACAGAAGGGAAAATTCTCTAGACCAAAAGTTCTCAACTCATACAGCTGACGAAAGAATGTTTTTTTTTTTGTTTGTTTTTTTGTTTTTTTCCAGGTTATTTGATCAGTTATCAGAGGGAATTATTCAACATTTTATCACAAGATGCAAATAAAATAGACTTTCTAGGTAAAACAACACAATATGTTTATGTTAGGAAGAAGAATATTTACTTTACTGATCATCAATGGGAGATTTTTTTTACACACATAGGCCTGAAATACAATCACACACATAGGGCTCATGGACATGCCGATGTGGAGAGATGGGGGAGTAATGGGCTGCCACCTAGTGGCGCTCTGAGAGCATGTACCTGCGAAATTCCACCAAGCACGGCTTTATAACGGCTTTCGCTCTGTGATCCGCGCGTCTTAAAATACCCACAGAGCGTTTTAAAAGATGGAGAGTCAAATATTCTTAAATATTAGTACAATTGTTGTATTGAGCAAAAATCTATCAAATCTAGTGTAAAATTCAATCTGAAGTCTGCACGCAGTATTTTATTTTGAAAATTTACCGGATTTTCTGTCGTTTCTGTGTTTGTCTTCCTGTGCGATTTACTCTGGGCTGCTTGATACGACTGGGTTGCAGCTTCTGTCAAAAATAGATCAATCGTGGTCTGACTGAACCAGCCAACCTCCAGTTCCCAAGCCAAGTCCTTACGGACTGAGCGACTGCTGGAAATTATTTTCTTGATATCTCATGAATCGTTTCTTGACCCTAACCCTAACCCTAACTAATTTGTGTGTGTCTAGGCACAGTCTCCCATGTTCAAGGAGTACATCACCCAGGTACTAAAGAACGCCAAGGCCATGGCTACAGCTCTCCTCGGCAAAGGCTACACCCTGGTATCAGGTAATCTGACTTGTATTGAAGCATTTGTTTTTTAATTCCCATCAAGAGACACTGGCTCAGCAAACACCAGAAGGAAACACACAACACAGTCAATCAAGAGAAATGCCCTGTCACAAAATGCAAATTATGTGGCAGAAAAAAAAAACGGGAAATCATTTAAATTCATGATGTGCAAATAGGCTAATGTCAGTGTAGCTGTCCTGTCAGTCAAGAAAATAAAACCAGATGAAAGTGGTCACTTTGTGGTTGTGAGCGAATGCTTGAATCTTGTACTGCATTTAATTTGCTGGCCTCAGCTCTTTCTTGATGTATAGCCTTCAATTGAAACGCTAAAAAACACAGGCTTGTCCTGTGCTTACACTGCATTGTGTGCATACTCATATTTTCAATGCCTTTGTAAATGTTTTGGGTAAATAAAAAAAAAAACTAGAAAAAGGTTATACTGTTACAGTTGATTAAAAAAATGAATGTGTACTTCCTCCATTAAGTTGATGACATTAATGGCTGAGTATGTACATTTTTAGAGTATAATAATATAAACTCAATTGCCAGTTTATGAGATACACAGTCTGCAATAACTCATGAAAGTAATAATGTTCAGTTTGTGTTAAAACTATTTCACAGCTGTTTTTCATTTGTGCGGTCACTTTTGAGAATGTAGTTTGTGGTGCTGTTGAACTGCAATGAGGTGTTTCTGTTATTTAGCCTACCCTCACTCATATAAACAGGCAGTACAAAATAATAGAAACACATAAATGTTGTATGAGACTGCAATTTAGCTAAATGTACCTAATAAACTGGCATCTGGAGTGTATATTTGGTGCTTATACCAAGCATATATGAGACAAATACAACATAACATAGTTTAAACAGTAAAAATATCCCGTTTCCTGCTTAAGTAACCTAAAGAAATTTGCGCTTAATCATGATGGCAATACATTTTACTATCAGGATGAGTGATTATATTGTTTGCTAATATAGTTTTAATGGCATTATCCATTTGTCACCTTTATTCATTGCATTCATCTTTTACTCATGTTGTTCCAATGAGGTAAAACTGAAATAGATACAGTGTTCAGTTTAACATAAAGTAGATATGCAGATAATCATTTATAAGCATGAGAAATGTGAAGCACTGGAGGCCCCGACAACACACTACCCAACAGTAATTCTGCATCATAATTAACTGCGTTCAGTTTCATATCCTATATAAAGCACAAATCTGGTATCATTACCTAATCCAGATGAAACTAAAGTTGAGGTGGTCTGATCACAGCCTTAAAAGTGAAGTTTGTGTCTACAAAGCCTTGGACTTTCCTCCTCTTCAAAAGTTTTTACTAAGATGATGAATATTTCAGGCGGGACCGACAACCACCTGGTCCTGGTGGACCTGCGGCCTAAGGGCATTGACGGGGCTCGGGCCGAGAGGGTGCTGGAGCTTGTGTCAATCACTGCCAATAAGAACACCTGCCCCGGGGACAAGAGCGCCCTGACTCCTGGTGGCCTCAGGCTAGGTAAGGAACACCTTCACATGACACTACATTTAACTTGACAAAGACAGATCTTGTCATACTTATTAGGGGTATGATGACATGTTGAACCTTGTTGTGTTGACAATGTTAAAAAACTAGTTTAAACTAGAAAATAGTGCTGATTTGTATTTTAAAGAAGTCTTAAATCTCAAAACACCTGTAAGTGACTGTAGTTACTGATAATCAGTCTTATGTTGGTCAGCTATTCAACATTTTGTTTAACTACAAGGTGATGTTATTTTTTGGTACATTTACTTGGCACTGAAAAACCTCTCCACTTAATCTGTTCTACTTACTTTTTCAAAATGTAGTTCTGCATATGGAAATTAGTCAACCACCAATTAAGCCACAAGCACTAAGAAGTCATGATTAATTAAGCATGTTTGCGTTTTTAATCATCTTCCAGGAAGTTCAAGAACTCTACACCCCCCACTGCCACTTTTTTAGCATTGTCTTAAGGCGAGGTACTTTACCTACTGTACGTGTACTGCACTTATTACCTTCTCAGTTGTTCATTATATTTCAGATTTGGACTGCACCTTAGTGACCCATCATTATCATTGTAGGTTTGACACATCTGGAGTCTATGTAGATTCATTACTAAAATATCTAGAAGCTCCGGGGTTCTGTTTTATTTTTTTCCCCAAAGACCATATTTTATGTTCTTGTCGGCCCCAGGTGCCCCAGCCCTGACCTCCAGACAGTTCAAAGAAGCTGACTTTGTGCAAGTTGTCGAGTTCATGGACGAGGGCTTCAAGATTGCCTTGGATGTCAAGAAAAAGACAGGTAATTCTACTGCGAGAAGGGAGACGCATTACAATGTAGCAGTTTGGAGTTTGGAACTATGTACTTATTAGAAAGGCAAGAAAAGTTCAATATGCTGTATGTTTTATTAAAGTGTTGGATACTGAAATATGAGAGGAAACAAGAAGCCCAGTGCTGATAAAACAAAGGAGGCTACAAAATGGAAAGCTGAGCGTTCTCCCTCTCTCTTCTCTGTTGTCTCCAGCAAAGCTCCAGGACTTCAAGAACTTCCTTCTTCAGGACCCAGAGACTGTGGCTCGGATTGCTGAACTGCGCCACCGCGTTGAAGCTTTTGCCAGGCCCTTCCCCATGCCAGGCTTCCACGACCATTAGGCAAGCCAATATAGAGTCAGGGGGCCGTAACAGCCAGGTGGCAGAAAGCTGGCTGGGCTGCAGTGTTTCGAGGAGAGGGGAAAAACGTTGTGGTAGTGAAAGGCAGTTTGTGCCTGTGAATTGGGATGACTTCTTCAGTTCCCTTTATTTTCCCATCTGATTTGGGAAACCACCTTTTTTATACTTCTTTGCAGTCATCCATCAATCTATTCTTGTAAAAACAAGACCTCCGCATTGAGGTAGAGAAACAATAAACTTGACAGATTTTGTAGAGTCAAAGAACCTATTTTCTAACATATGTGTAAAGATCTTTCTCAGTTTTTCACACCATTTCTTTAATGTGGCTGTGTCAGGAAAAAATAACATGTTCATAATTCAAACAACCTGTCTAACTATGACCAACAACCTTTGGTGTCACGGACTCTGACTTGATTAGTGTATAATTAGTTATTATAATTAGAAACACAGAAGAGTCTTAATGCTGAAAAGAGTCTTAACTAATGTCACTAGTGCTGATTATTATAGTCACTATGGAGATGTGTGCACGATAGCTTGCTATTGTTATTTTCCATTTATTAAACCAGGTACACAAGGAGGCTTTGTGACGTGAAGGTGTTTAAGTGTTTTACCATAAGATGTTGTGTTGGGTGAAATTTTGTTAAAAATCCAAAATGAACCCAAAATGTTTCAGAATGTCATTTTTGAAAATTACATTATACAGGAGGTGGACTAAATAATTTTGATAGTATAGTCCAATAAAGCAACACTACAAACTGTAGTTACAGATGTGTTTGTGTGTGTAAAAACACATTTCATCAAACATTGTAAGATTTAAAAAGTTGTATTTAATGGGGATTTGTTTAAGATTATATTACAATAAAAATATCCACCTCACGTAAAAATCTATTTTTGAAAGTTAGCTTCTTTTTACGCTGTTGTGATTGCATTGTCTTTTTCCTTCTAGCATATCACTGATGCCAGATTTCGAATTGCGTTATTTTTTGTTATGACAGATAACCAAATGGAATAACAGAAATGTCATCCTGGATTATTTCATACTTTCCTTTTAAGTGCGTTTACAAAGAGTATATACTTTTCTATATATTATTTAAAAAGAGTTGACTATGTAACTGCCATCTTGTCACATATATCTTAAGGTTTCCAATACCAGCTGATTTGTTGTACTCGAAGAAAGGCAATCTGTCAAGCAGTCTGCCTGATTTAAGTGTCATTTATTTCACCAGTGATGGAAACTGTGAAGCAGCGTGATTTGATCAAACATTTTGAGAGTATTGTGTTGTCTATCTGGTTCACAGATTGGAACTGTTGTCATTATCACTGCATCAGTGAGGAAGCAAGATTTTCTGTTTGTGAAATGGTCTTACAGCACAATCGAGAAAAGGGTGTCAGAAATGGTGTAGTTACTTTCTTACTTTGCACAAAACACAGTTTCTAAAGTGAACCAAATCATACATCCACGAGTTATTGCCAGCCAATAGACTAGACTTTGCCAAAATATACCAACAAGTATTTTACTACAATGTTTATGAATCTACTTTTTTTTCTGTTATCATCTCTGATATGTTGCCAGCATTGTACATCAACACAAGTTTGAACTAACTTTCTTTTACAGAACCTTTTTATTAAATAACATTTAAGTAGTATTAGCTGACTCGTAATAAAATACAATAATGCAAACACAGTTTGTGTTGTGTCGTTGATCTTAATATCACTTGTCACACTTTGTCACAATCACACAAGTTTAATGAATTAATTTATAAACGATGAGTACGCACAAAAAACGTGCAAGAAGAATGAGCGTTGAGAATTTGTCTACCTCACACATTCTTCAAACCGGGTGTATAAGGTGTTTTCAAGAGATATTTCTGCGGGTGAAATGATGAGGTGGACATGAAATATAAGTTGAGAGATGTAATCTTAGTAAAACATTGTTTGTTGAGGGTGTTTGGAAATTTCCCTGGGGGGTTATTGTTCTGCAGGCTTCACATTGTTCTGTAAAAAGTAACTCAGAAGTGCATTTATAAACCTAATTTATGAGTGATACATTTGATCATTCTTTTTATTTTACATTTACCATCATCTGCCTGTTAATGATCTTTTAAAATGAAGCACTTAGTCTGTTTGGATATGAGCTCTATAAATTTATCATTGATCATCCTTTTTATGTTTGGTAATAAAAATTATTGAAATATCACTGTGGTCACGGTTTACAGATACATATGATGTGATGAATAAATTAAATTCAGTTTTTTTTTGTATAGCACCAATTCATAACAAAAGTTATCTCAGAACCCTTTTCAAATAGAGCAGGTCTAGACCGTACTCCTTATAAAATTATTTACAGAGACCCAGCAGTACCACCATGAGCAAGCACTTGGCCTTGGCAGAAACCTCGGACAGACCCCGGCTCTAGGTGGGTGTCCGTCTGCCTCGACCAGTTGGGGTTAGAGAGAGAGAAATATTGTGGTACGGGCCCCATAAATAGCCACATTTTAATATTAATGTTAGCAGACTCTTACAGTCCAAGTGTTAACCGACTGTTGAAATATAAGTCACACTGAGTCTATGATGATGACATCACATTTCCATTTCCTATTTATAAACTGTAGGGGGGCTTCTGAAGGGGGCCATGCCATAAAAGGTTGGAGAACCCCCACCCTCTACCATAAGCCAACAAGCCCCAACCCAAACCGTGGAGGTCAGCATCATCTAAACAGGGAACACACATCTACTCAATAATTTAATACTATTCCTTCTAGATAACTATGATTAATAAGTAATAAAAAACAAAACAATAGTAAGTAGGCCTGTCAGATGCTTCAGAGCTCTTGTTCCCTCACACACAACCTGCACTGGCTGCAACGCAAATCAAACGCACCCTCTCTAACAGGGCGGGCTATATAAACTGTTTTCCCTGGGTCTCTTTAACTGTTAACTACCTGCTGTGTCACGGAAAAACGCTTAGTGCTCCCACTGCTGCTGCCTTTAATATAATAATATATAATATATGTGGAGTTTGTTTAATAAAGAAGCTGAGCTGCCAGCAGTCTGATAATACAGCTTAAAGCAGATAGCGGCTTTTTGTGGAGGAAATATTTGTGTTTGTGTTGCTTCCTGCTGCCTGTTGCAGTTCAGCTGCGCTGTAACGTTACGGTGTCACTGTCGGACAATTTAGGACTGTTGCGACTTTTTCCAAAGGACTTACAATCTGCTCAGATGCTGCGGATCACTGCTTCACCAAGTAAGTGTTTAAGTGTGCTTACATGAGATGATTGGCTCTGTCTTCTCTAATGCTTGGTTATCTCTGCTGTATCTATGTTGGACCCATATTTGAGTGATGCCGGTTCTGTCTACCTACAGTACTCTGTGTGCAATAGTTATTTAGTTGTTTTTGAGGATAAAAAGTGTTAATGGGGCGAATTTTGCCAAAACTAAGTGTCAAAAAATGTTAATAATTTTAGAGATCCAAATATGACTTTTGCTTGCACACATTCACATATTATTTCCTTGTAATAATAGTTAAGGCAGTAAGGTCAAGTAGTGTACTTAAATAGTATAAAGTTGAGGTACCTGAGCTTTTCCGTTTTAATGCAACTTAATTATAATTTTAGTCCACTCTGAGAGGTAAATATTGTACTTTTTACTCCACTACATTTGCTTTTCAGATGACATTTGTTCATACCCTTCCTGTCCAGTGAAAACCCACATATTTCCAATGTTCCAATTTTTGTGGAATTTGTGTTCCCTTGTTGGCTGAGGAAATTCTCCACTTTTTAAAGCTAAATAAACTATTATAAATGCATTGCCACAAAGCTGAAGGGTTATTTATGTGAGAAAGCTGACTTTTCAGAGATATGTTGTTCTCAATAGACAGCGACAGTGATGGTGTTATTTACGTTTATGTTATGGAGAATCTGAATATTTATTCTGTCACTGGCTTCACAAAGAAGTATTTCAGTTGAAACTGTTGTGTTTATGTGACAGCTTGCTCCACTGTGTCATACTTAAATACTTGAATGTAATGCTTAAATGTCTGTGGTTTATGCTGCTGCAGCCACATTAACTGTCAACCTTATATCAATGTATAGGTGTTGTCTGCTGCTCAGTGTAACATTATTTTATAAGGGGTTTGACTGCTTACATGAATACGTACATGAATACTTATCTGCTGCGTGGATTGCTGTGGTTGGACTTGACTGTCTCTGAGACTAAAAGTTGTGTTTGTACATGAACTGAACACTACTAGAGAACTATACCGAGAATCACAATCTTCTTGTCAACCAGTAGCTTTTAGCAGTGCAGCTCCCCTCACTGGTGACTGAGTGCACTGTTGTGAGCTTAGCCGTAATGCAGTTACATTTACTCCCTCATTAAAAGCTTATTAAAAGACTACAAAGGCCACAGACAATCATAATCTGATAACTCTGTTGTCCATAGCCGTTAATCTTATGTAAAGTGCTTGTGTAGGCTAGTTTTGTCCGGACTAAATGTAGCAGCTTGGGCTAGCAACAGACTGAATGGCCTGCTGATATATTATTGGCACATCTGCTCATTTGCAAACTCTCCTGTAACACTGCTGCCTGTTTATGATCATCACTTCACATTTTCTGCTGTGCTGAGTTTAATAGGCGCTTGCATGGGTGAAGACATCAGAGCCTAGATGCCAAAAATGTATCTACTCTGAACACAAACTCACAGTGCATGTTGATGTTTATAATGGTTTAAAATAATATTCAGTCATTTAAGTCTTCTAATCAAATGTGGCATGAAGCAGTGGTAGCCAGACAGCACCCTGCTACACAACTTTGAACAACAACCCACATTAGTTTTCCTGCTACAGTCTCCTTCTTAAATAACGCACAGAAATTAACACGTGTCTTGTCCTGCACTTGAGCTTGTCTAATGTCAGTTTGCAGGCTAAAATGCTAATTAAACAGCATTTAACGATACTGGTGTGGTGCTCAGTACCACTAAGAACACGCTGATCTGTATGAGACAATGATATGTAGGCTGCAGCGCAAGTTTGCTTACTTGGTCTCTCTCTTGCCAGCTGCTGTCAATGAAAAACAGACAATTATTATTTGATATATTATCAGTTATTTCTGATTCTGATTTTTAAAA